GACTGTCAGTTGGTTGAAATGTTCAAAGGAGGGCCGCCAGACTGGTGCCTGCACTTCGGCACCTCAGCTACCCTGAGAGATTGGAGCACCTGAACTTGCCTAGCTTATACTACAGACCGGCAAGTGGTGACCTAACTGAGGTGTATAAGCATCTCAAGGGGCACTACTCTGTCAAGTGTCCTTACTTGAATCTGGCGGAGTCTTGCCCCACAAAGGGTCACAGTTCAAGATTAAAGAAGCCGCAAGTCCAGAAAACTGTGAGAGCAAACTTTTTCGGAGTGAGAGTTGTGAACTCTTGGAACAATCTACCAGATAGTGTTGTGATGGCACCGAGTGTGAGCTCTTTCAAGACAACACTGGAGCAGGTTCAGGTACATTCAGGAGCCGGTGCATGCCCAGTACTTGCCAACAGTGCGTAACAGAAACGTGACCGATTGCCCAAGAGGCTAACAAGTCGATTATTTGGTGAAGAGGATAAAAGAAAAGGAAAAGTAACAGAGACGTGACCGATCGCCCAAGCGGCTAGCGAGCCGATCAGTGGTGAAGAGGATAAAACATAAAAACAAAACAATACTGTACATTGTTTATTTGTTATTCTCACTCCATAATTTAAAATTTATGTAACAATGTAGAAGGAATACAACGTTGTTAATTTATACTTATGCTCAATTTTGTGGGTAGACATCAGCTGTTAAATTGTCTGGTAGTCCTGCAGCCAGTGTTACCAAACAAACTGACTGAGGCATCATCTCACCACTTACCATCTCCCTCCCTCCCTCCCTCCCTCCCTCCCTCCCACTGTATCTCACTGATACTCTGCCTCTCTCTCACTCTACTATGACTGTCATTCCCACAAGCAACAATTGACAACTCTGTATGTGTTGCAATTATTTTGTCAGAGCTTAGTAATGTACAGTACATTTATCTATCACAGAACTTAGTACAGGATCTCATCCCCCCGTATTACAGTAATTTATATGGGGAGAATGGTTTCGATGAGCATAATCCACCTAACGAAAGCGATTTAGTGGAACCTAACCCTTTCGTTCAATGGGGACTTACTGGTATTATTTTTATTTATTCCCCACATTGACTGGTACTGTACTGTATATATTAGTTTAAGAAAACTATGGTTACAGGAGGAAAATACACCCAAGTTTTTTTTCCTGGGTACAGTACTCCCTGTTAAAATGAGGGGGGGAGGGGGTTGGGTCTTACATGCCTGTCCAATACAGTACTGTATTTTTTGGTTATTTTTTATATCATTATTTATCGTTTTTATACATTTAGTACATTCGCCAGAAGATACTGACAGTCAGCTTTTTCAGACAGGTGGTCCCCTCTTTTAGTTCAGATCTTCGAGGGTTCACTGTATATGCAATGACAACGGTATATTGACAGTTCATTAAAAAATATATATATTTTATAAAATATATAACCTTATTTATTATTAAAATATGTATTGTATTGTCATTAATGGAGATAATGTACAGAGGTCATCAGATTTGATATTGGCCTAATGAGAGTTAACAGGTACTAGATGACACTGGATGTGTGAACACGCTGGCCGTTGCCACAATCACAAGTTTATTTGTATTTATTCATTATTATACAGTGTTCTTGTATGATCAGCCTATTTTAGTGTATGTTTCATCATAAATAACATAATAGTATTAAAAACTAGAAAAAAATACAATACAGTGAACCCTCACTTTACGCGGTTAATTCAACCCACAGGGTACCGCGTAAAGTGAACAACATAACATATGGTATTAATTGAAATAGAGACCAGGACGACCCCCAAACTCCACTTTTTCAGACACAATACCTCCGTTGTAGTAAAAATAACTTCTTAATTTTATGATGGTATGCACACACAATTAATAATTAAGAGAAATATCAATAATATTAGGTTTTTTAACACTTACATTAGTAGAAAAGATGGCTGGGCACACGGGGATAGGGGGTTGGTCCCGAGGCAGAGGGCAGATTATTATATTATTGGCCCTCACCTGTATCACTTGTATCAATTGTATCACTATCCACCACAGAGGCTTGCTGGGCCTCTTTGTCAAACCCCTCAAAGTCCATATAAGTCCATATCCTCACTATAATTATCACTGACTTGGGCCGGCTGTGGTGGGTGGCGGGTGAAGAACTCGGTAATGTTTTGATGACTGGGCGACCTTGTGCGCACCCTGCTCGCGCCGCTTACACAACATGGCGGATGGCGGGAGGTTTGGATCCAAAAATGGCGCGGCTCGCCAGCCGCTCTCCGCGTAAAGGGGTACACGCACCGCGGAATGTGAGCATTCCGGTTTCGGCAGGGTACCGCGTAAACGTGGAAACGCGAAATGTGGGACCGCGTAAAGCGAGGGTTGACTGTATATAATTTTACTTCACATAAAATGACAATCTGAATCAGAAGATAATTTCTTTCCTGTCAGTGGGGGTGAGACTATTTGTTGCCGCGTTCACATTTATTTTTATATAATCATACATAGAATATTAAAACACAGAACAGGAGACAAGACGGCATTATTGTCATGAGAGACGATGGTTTTATATAAGAAACAAGAAAATAAGACCCTGGTTGTAGCTGTAGTGAACATAATGTAAAAAAAAATGAATACCTGTATGTATGTTTTAAGTAATGTTATTTAATGTTAATAAATGGAACAGTAGCTGTAGCTAACCAATAATGGTAAAGAAATAAAGCGAGACGGATTGGGAATGCCAATGTACGTAATTGTGTATATGTAAAAACATATCGTCATTTCTCTACATAAGAATATGAAAGCAACACCTATTTACTGTTCATATATACAGTATGTTTAAAATACTACTTACGAATGTAAAACAAAAATTCTACTCGCCAATACTGTAGTGGTAAAGTCTGAAACATAAGGACAGCCAATGATAATGTGTGAATTTTTACTCAGATGATGAAGTCAACAGGTTCAACTCTGGCTGAAGCTATAGCTTTCCATAAAGCTGTTGCTGAAACTGTTACAGAGCCTGAAGTTGTTGATGAAGCTGCTTATGATGCTGAATTTGATGGTGCAGCTGAAGTTGATGGTTTAGGCCTTTGAATAATAAAGCTGTTGAAAGAACCTTGCACAGTGGCTTTCTTTTCTTATTATGCATCTTTATGTAGAGGTCATTTGCATTTTTCATGTCCATGCTAATTTTAATGCTTCATTCTGTTAATGAATCCACTTTAGAAAGTATGTTCATTGCTTGCTCCATATAATATCCACAGACCTCTCTCACCTTTTTCATATCGTTTTAACACATCTAGTTTCTCGGCAAAGCTTATACACTTTCTTTTAGCCTTTGAACCATCACTTGCTCTCTTGCTCATGTTGAATAGGGACGCAAAAAATGCCGTAAGAAACCTGAGAAAGTTTTTTCCTTTTCCTGTTCAGATGCGTGAAAACAAAGGGCCCGCCCGCTGCGACTGTTTATACTAGTGATGCTGGCGTCACCACTCACAAGCCCGGCAGCCTCCGTGCGATAGGCATGGGTTTTTTTTTGAGTGTGTGTGTGTGTTAACATCTAAATTAGCATTTACCATTGCCATATGAAGAATTCTAGAATGCTCAGCATCTTTTTTCATGCTGTGGTTTGGAATTACAGGTACAGGCATGGGATGAGCGTTTCCCACCCTTGAATTTTCATGCGTGTGCTCAATGTGAATGGTCCCATTGAGCTTCATTAATTTCTAAGTCGCACAGAAAAAAAACGCTTATGTGAAGCGGGACTTGCATCAGAAGATGAGAGCTGTGGGTAGTCCGCCTGGTTTGAAGTATTATTGTAGAGTATCATAATTTTTCATTTGCAAATATGTGGGTATACTTTGTGAATATCGAATAGGAGTGTTAAAATGTAAATTGTAGATAAGTGCGGCTGTGAATAGTGAGGTATTCCTGTATTCTATCCTGTACATTCAACAGAGTGGACAGTGTATGAGTACTGTAGGCTAGTGTATACCGTGCATATTCAATTCCTCCTTCATGAAGGGAGAGGAGAGTGGCAGTTAGTAACACCTACTACAGTAGATGGTACAGGACAAAGGCAGGCCATCCTGTATCATCATATCACCATTTGGCCTGCCTGCAACATATTACAAGCTCAAGATGACAGCATCTGCTGATCAGTACAGTAGTAGTACAAATTTTTTTTTTTTTTTTTTACAATATATTGTATGTATACAGTGGTGTTTGCACAAATAAATACAATTATGTGTATTCTTGCAAGGTGCATAGTTTAGACTTTTGGAAAACTTTCTCCAGCACCCAGAAACATTTTGTGGATGTGCGATAGTGTCTGTCTGTGGAAGATGTGTAATTTAGACTCAGGAAACTTATCCCAGTACCGTACTGTACATTACTCGGAAAAATTCCAGGGATGTGGGATTTTTTCCGGGGATAAGAAAATTGTCTCGATACCTAGAAGAGCTCTGCAATAATTATTCCGGCTAACAGGGATATCACTTTCTGTACATTACTGCAATCGCTAGTTAGTTCCTGGCACCATTGTTGAGGGACCTTGATTTGTCATCCACAAGCTTAGACTGTTAATAAATGAAAAGTTATTAACTGGGATTTTAGAACTAATTCCTCATCTACCCTGGATATCTCTGCTAATATCTTTCAATTTACTCTTACTACAACACAATTATTTATTTCTGAAGTGATGAAAATAACTCGCAGAAATTTTCAACAAAAGTTTATAGCATTTTTTGCTGGATTTTTTACACTTGGTCTGAAAACATGGTTTGAATATGAAAATATATGGTAGAATGGGATTTGTTTATTTTGAATAGTGTATCTGATAACACAAAATTAGACAGCAATCTTTTGAAGTGATTTTTATTATTCTTGATTTACATTTGCTGTATTTGTATCTCATTTCCATTTATAATTACACTTGAATTATGTCATAGCATCTAATTAATGATAAGTTATCTTGATAATGGAATCATACTTATGTTACAGGCTTCCCCAACAATGTGACTGCTGCTGCAGGTTTAGGAGCTGCATCATCATCATCTAATCCTGCTGGTAAACAGGTTGAAGGGCCTGATGGTGCAAATCTCTTCATCTACCACCTCCCACAAGAATTTTCAGATCAAGAGCTTGCCCAAGCATTCTGGCCATTTGGCAAAGTCATTTCTGCGAAGGTTTTCATTGACAAACAGACCAATCTTTCCAAATGCTTTGGTAGGTTTCATAGTTATACCAGACATATATAAGAATAGAAATTAAAACTTCTGTATCTTGAGCTCAGTAGTGTCTACCAGTATAATTATGTGCTGTTCATTCATATGCTACATTACCACACATTTTGAACAGTTTGGTTTTACACAAAGTTGCTAATTTAATCTCTTACGTTCTTTCATCCCCTTCTCTTCTACTTCCTTCTGCTTCATCTAGTACTACTTATACTTACCTGTTCCATACCCTTTCTTCCTTTCTCCCCTGCCATTTCTTCCACATTCGTTGTGCATGATAGACTAACTTTTAAGTGTAAGTCAATCGTGACAGAGTACAGCTCCTCCCTGACTTACGACGGGGTTAGGGACCCAAATCCAGGTCGTAAGTCGAAATGGTCGTAAGTCGAAAATGCTTAAATAATACATATAAAATATAAAATGGGTGTCTTTTTCTTCTCAGCACCACAAAACTTTCACTTTTAAGTTTGCCAGCCATTTTAAAGTGAATTACAAACAAAAATTTTGTCTGTGTACTGACATTGGGACTCGAAAATACGTAATTTGACAAAATTTTGGTACGACTGAGGCAGGTCGTAAGTGCGGGTGGTCGTAAGTCGGGGAGGAGCAGTACTGGGTAGTTTATACTTTTAAGTGTAAGTTGATCGTGACAGAGTACAGGGTAGTTTATAAATGATCAGCAGTAAATATGAATCGTTACTGATAACTTTAAACCTGGCTGTGTTTCGGAAAGAACCGAGTTACTATTGCTCGGAGTATTTATTAAAGACTTCTTCATTTCTATATGGTTATGAAATAAATGCAGCTGTTGCTATTTTCATACACCAAACTTTTTACTGACAGATATTTCCCCAACTATTGTAAAGGTTTCATTCCCAAAAAACTTTTGTAGGTCTATATTTTGTAAATCAAAGAACATTTTGTCATGGGCTTTCATTATAAGAGCCGAGATATATTTCTACAAAACATAGAAACTTCCCAAAAAGTCTTAAAATACCACACAATCCTACAAAACATGTTTTTAAGCACAATTTATGGTGTACACAATTATTATAAGCTAAAAATAAAGATAAGTGAAATACATGCAGTACAGTATAGTACTGTGCAACACAAATTATACGTAAAAACAGCAGCTAGCAGTGGAACAACCTTCTACAATGGCAGCAGAATATATACTAAGTGATCCAAGCAGTTAGGTCACTCAGCACGTGGGGAAGCGTTGGAGCACGTTGCAATATCTTGGAACTCGCAGAAAATTTTTTCCCAGGCCTATAATGGAGAGGTTTGGGGAGATTTTTTCTGGATTATGCACCTGATTTTCATCCCTGGAAAGGAGAGAGTTTTCCTGGAATTTTCTGGCCCGATATCCATTCTGGCTATTGGAGAGTTTCTGGAACCATACAGCTGACTTTTTCGCTCATGACAACGGCCTAAATGTAATGGGAGAGTGTTTGTCCCTGCGAAATGTGTAATTTTGATTGTCGGAAAACTTACCCAGTACCCGGAAAAAATCTGGGAATGTGTGATTGTTTCTGGGGGATTAGAAAATTCATCTCCATTTCGAGCAATCTCTCAATCCTAGAACCGTTCTGCACCAATTATTATAACCAACAGGGATATCACTGTACAGTATTTTATGACTTTAAATTTAAGGAAAGTTCTTTTTCTGGGTTATTGTTGACCTGAAATGTCCGATTTAAGTCCATCCCTGAAGCGAAGTTCAGGATGACTACTAATGTATTAGACAGTAAGGGAGGTGGAACCACAGGAAGAACTATGGGTCATCGTCTATTGATTTAAAGTATGCCCATTGGCTCTATTCTGCTCATAAAAGTGGCTTCAAGAAATTGGAATCTACAGTATTTCGCTTGGGCAGAAATTTTAGAAGTTTTTGGTTTTCCCATTTCTTTTGAAGGAGAGTCATAGAATCTTTGCAAAGGTCTTAATGGTAATTTTTTGTATGGTCTAACTGATTAATGGTTGGTTTTTAATTTTTCTTTGTAGGTAATCCAATAATAATACAGCTCTGCACTCAGAATGATTCACTTTCCTCCTCAGATGGAGTTCAGTGAACCTGGAGGTGCCTAGGCTAGCACCTGACCAGGATTTTACATGGTTAGGTTTACAATGGAACATGAATAAGTTGGTTGGGAGAAAGTTGTAGTGTTTCAATTTGAGTAAGTGTCCTCCTTTCAGAGAGGAAAAATTTCTTGCAGACAGTTATTTGGTATGTAAATGGAGGAGCTTTAGCTACTGTTTACAGATGACCCTGCTCTAGAAGGCTACTAAGAAAAAAGGGTACAAGTATTGCAACAGAAAATGAGTTTGATGGTGTGTACTTAGAGAATGTTTATGGAAAAGTGAAAATGGATCCATAGTCCTTTTGCCCTGTTATATGCATTGTAGATATAACTCATTGAGTGCTAAACCTTTGGTGCACAAGAAGGCAGTGGACTGGGTGGAGTAGGATTGCTATAGTCATGAACCAGCAACCCCTTGGACAGGAGGTGAATACTACATCCTCTTGGCTACAGTCAAGTCTTGGCAATACAATAGTAGCACACTTGTATCTCACTACAGCATCTTGGGAGAAATTGCCAGGTCAGATTTAAGAAGAGTATTATCCAATGTGACTGTACTAAGGATTACAGTTTTTCTTTAGATACTTTGGTTTTCTCCTGTACTTACACCAGACAAACTCCAACTCATAAGGAAACGGGGAAAGCAAAATAATTGTCAGTTTGAATGGAGGTAGAGGAAGTGAAGCATTTCAGATATCTGGAAGTGGTTTTCAGCTGTAGAAAATTGAGTGATGAATTGAACCACAGAGTAGCTGAGGGGAAAGAAAATACCTGGTGTATTGAGATATATATACATGTATGGAGAGAGAGAACTGTATTGAAAGAGGTAAAACTATGGATGTAAAGGAGAATTGTTTGACCAATATTATTATAAAGAAGTAAAGTTTGGGACATGATTGCAAGAGGAAGGAACAAATTAGAAGAGATAGGAATTGACAAAGCAAAATGTAGGGTAAATACGATGCAGAGAATATGAAGAGGAATATGAGAGAAATTTGCATATGAAAGAAGTATTAGGCAAATAGTGATTCAGGGTTTAGTTTGATGGAACCCTTCTTTGTATTTGTTGTTGGATAGTGTCAAGTTCGTTTAATTTTTTTGTTATGGAAACTTTTATGGTGTAAAGGATATTGTGATAACATTTTAAGTTTTACTTCTGGACATGACACCCCATAGATGCCACAAAACTAGTGTCTCTACATAGGATTCACATATTGCTGGGAGTGAGAACAAGTTTTTCAGTAGACTATAGTAGAGTACTGTACTGTTGAAGAAATTTGATCATCACTTTATCACATACACAGTATGTACCAGGTATACTCTGTTCCCTGTCTTAATAACCTTATTTGTCTGCAGGGTTTGTCTCGTATGACAATGCTCTAGATGCACAGCGGGCAATTCAGCACATGAACGGTCAACAGATTGGCAACAAGCGCTTGAAGGTGCAGCTGAAGCGTTCCAAAACTGACTGCAAGCCATACTAACAGGTATTTTTTTTTTTTTTTAATTGCACAGTCATATATTGTTTTATATAGATAGTCCCATTATGTACCCCCTTCACATACATTCTCAGTTTCATGTGCTGATAGGTATGTCAATATTTTTTCCTTTAATAATTTAATCCCAGAGTATAGTCAAGATGTAGCAGAATCACTCAGTTTAAAGACCAGACAATCAGAAGAAACTTGTGCCTGTGTGATAAGTTCCTGCAAAATGCAGTTTCAACTCCTTGGAGAACACATCGACAATGTTATCAACAATAACCTTTTTCCTGTACCATGGAAATAGCAATCACAATACTCATGTTCAGGGATGGTGTTTGATTCCAGTATGGAAATATTACATGTATGAAATGTTTGTGCAATTGTAAAGTATATCACTGTGTACAAATGTTCGTCCCTAAAAAAGTCTTTCAGAAAACAGTGAGTCAGGAGTCAAGTTTATGTGAAGCCTAGTGCTCAAATTGTAGTACAGTAATGTATATATTGTATAGTATCTCTTGTGGGATTGCCAGTGTATTTATATGACTGTTGATGTTTATTAAGAGGTTGCAGTATGTTATTTGTGAATAATAAGACTGCTTATGGCTAATAATTACTTATGAGTCCTGCTAAAATGCATGTTTGACTTTTTTTGGTAATGTGCTACAAGCACATTCAGATACATTTTTTGGCAAGTGGCATTAAAATTGGGACAGGCAGTGTGTGTGTGTATGACTGGATACATGTTACCTCATGTATATTTTATGGCAAAACTATTGTAAATACAGTATTGAATTTATTTTATGTAGTCATGTATGATAATAGCATTGGAGACTCATAATTGATTATGTAGCCTACAATATGACAGGGTATAATTTTGTATTTGTTGTTCAGACTGCTCAAAAGCTCTGTGATACTTCTGCTTTTGTGATCTGCAGTGTTTATAAAGTATTGTTCCTTTCTGTCATTTTATTATAAGTTTCCTGTTCCGCACTTCCACAAAGACAAGGTGATATTTGATTTGTAAATAATGAAATAGATGAACAGTTTTAAAGTGTTTGCTTAAGGATATACTGTAAATGTTTTTGTGATGTTGCAGTCGGTCAAGCTTCAGATTTATTTATTTATTTTATTATTTTATTTTAATTTTTTTACAAAGTTTTATTAAAAAAAATAGAATGAGATCATTGAGCAGCTAAGGAAGTAGGTTATGAATTGTGTGTTTTTCTTCATGATTTACAATTATGATCTCAATTGCAAGTCCTTGTTCATTTGTTTTATTCAATATTTAGTCTCATTATGAACTGTTAGCTTTTATTGCAAAGTACGGTACAGTATTTAGAATACAGTACTATAGTATAAATCACAAATTACATTTTGGGTTAATTAAACATGCCATTCTTTTTTATGTAAGTTCAAGCTTCTTATTTTTTTAGGGGACAGACAATCCCAGTGTATTATGTGTTGTGAATTGAAAAGAAGTAAGAAATTGTGAATGAGCTTTGTGTTTAATATAGGTTACATAGGATGGACTGAAAGTTTAAAGCAAATAATGCAGGGAAAAAGAATATGAGGTGCTCTGAAAGCATTAATTTATGAAAAGCCAGGTGTAGGAGATGCTTGAAGCCTGCATGAAAGGAATATATGTTTTAAAATGTTCCTCAGGGAAGTGAGACCCATTTTTTTTGCAAATTCATCATAAAAAAAAAATACTGTAATTGAAATACTTGACTTGAGAATATGTAAGAAATTATGAAGAGAACTGTGGTAAAGGATGAACATATAAAAATGTGTGGAGTTATGGAAACATTTGAAGGTACTTGTATAAAAGCCTCCAAAAATTGTTTGACCGTGTTGTTGTAGATAGAATAGATGAAAAATCAGAGGAAAAGATTGATGATGGTGTAAATGCAGGTGCATTTTAGGGAAGAGTTAGACTTCACAGTGGGATTACAACTGAATCTACAAGAGGAAAAGTTAGATTAATATGAATGCGAGAGATGGTGAATACTATACATACTAAGAGCTTAAGGTATTTATTGAGGGTTACGGATGTTTCAAGAGATGATGTTGAGCGGTGATTGCTGATCATGGGGAGTGCAGTTTTAATTTAGAGAGTTTTAAATGATTTGAAAAAAGGGCGAGTGCAAAAATTTTGTTTGAAAGTGACTACAGCCACTCCTCGACTTACGACCTACTTGACTTATGACCACCCGGACATACGACCGCCTCAGTCGTACCAAAATTTGTTCTTATTACGTATTTTCGAGTCCCGACGTTAGTGATTGCGCTGTGTACTGACAAAATTTTTGTTTGTAATTCCCTTTAAAATGGCTGGCAAGCTTAAAAGTGAGAGTTTTGTGGTGCTGAGAAGAAAAAGAGACACCCATTTTAGATTTTCTATGTACTGTACATATTATTTTCGCATTTTCCACATTAACAATTAGACTTACAACCTGGATTTGGGTCCCTAAGCCCGTCGTAAGTCGGGGAGAGACTGTATTGTCAAATGGCAAGACATATTTTCTTTAATGCAGGTAATGTAATTGTAGATTCTGTATGGTGGGAGAAATTTGTTTGAAATTGGGTGAATGGGGGTTTTAGTTATCAGTTCAGTTAATTTTGTGAAGAGAATTGATAGGTAAATGTACTGTTAATGTGAATAACAATTGCAGTGTGTCTTATTATGCTGAACTTTAGTTGAAGATATGTAAAATATTTTTGTGAGGTTTGATGCAACTGACCCAACCCATGTTGATAGGTATACAGTTTGGAGTAACTGAAAGACATATAAGAGGGGCCAGTATCTTCAATGTGTAGCCGTGTAACTTTTGGTTAATTTCATCCTTATTTGTAATATAGTGTCCAAACATTCTTGTAGATGTTTATAAAAAACATGAATTAAATGTAAACTGTGAACTGAAGCTTTCAGATGATGAAGTAAATCTGCAATCATTCCATAACAGCTAAAATGAGGGTCAGTGGTTCTGTTACTGTACATATACTGATTTAAATATGAGTGGAAATTGGTAAAACATGTTTTTTTCATATGTCCCTTATTGTTTACTCTTATTTTGGAGGTGGTGGTGTACAGTATTTGGTTTTCTGTCCCTGTGGAGTGATATTAAAGAAGATATTTCTGTCATATCTAGAAAAAATTATAAGATGTTATACTGTATTCTGAATAAGTCTTTGTGATACTGTGTGTGCTTCAAATGTATTTGTTTGCTGAGTGTAATCATCTTAAAAAGATGAAAGTTAGTCAATTAAAGTATGCTGAAACTGCTTACCAGTTGTCATGAATCAGTAATTGCTTTGTTAAAATTTTCTCATTGTAGTATTCTCATTTGAGATCTTAATTAGCAGATAGACTTTTTGTGCCTCAAAGGTTGCCATTCCATTCACTAGAAAATGAAGCACATGGTACTGGATGTTTTAGGTTAGTCTAACTGCATTAATTTACAGTTAGGCTCTATTAGTTTTTGATGCTTAGTGTTTATGGTCATCACTACATGTACTCTTACATAATGTTTGTCTCAAGTCTCGTTCATATTACAGTACATGACTTAATTCTTGGACACCTTAAATTTGAATGTTATATGGGAATCAGTATTGTTTTCATGGCTGTCACCACAACACTTTGTCTTCTCTGGTGATCCTGTATTACACTATGCGCAGTTTTATTGTGCCTCGTTTGCTGTGCATGCATACAATCATCAAAATTTGTGTATGTGATACATTTTCCTCTAGTCATAAGAAACATTCCGGATGAACTCTTTTCAGAAGTCATTAGGATAAGAATCAGTTTCATGTTGCATGGATCCTCAAAAGTTTGGTTTTGTGCAATGACTTATACGTGTTTTTCTTTTTTTCCGTTGGCGACCTAGCTGCCATGTTGTGCTGTTCTGCCCCGTGCCCCGTATTGCCTGCCGTCCGTATAACAGTGTCTACGTCCTTCTCCCATCTTCGTAGCACGTCTCATACGTACGTATGTATACGTATGTGTATGCCATGTGGTTGTATACACTGTGCAGCTGCTGTAAAGTCACTCATGCTAACAGATTACTAACCAGTCATCAAACCTGTCAGCATACATAAACATATTAGGCTTCAATTAAACCCTCAGCAGTGCTTGTCATCAACACAGTTTTGGTATCTTGACAAGTAACCTCACCAAAAGGCTATCGTTGCTATTCTCTGTACAAACCAAAAATGTTTAATATTATAATACATACATTTTTAATAGTTGTTTACTTTAGGAATAAATACTGTATACTGTCTTTTTATCAATTTTTCTAGACCATTGATTACATAAAGAGATGGTTTAAAGTCGCTTCTTTTAAAAGACTAACTATCCAGTATGTATTGGTGAGTGAACTCATTAGATTTGACGGTAGCTACTTGCACAAATTTTTCACTTTAAAAATAAATTGGTTTGTTCTTTCATTCATATTCAGTTCCACTTAAGGCAGAATCAAGATTTTCTATGGAATGGACATTGGATCCATATATTTTAGTAGGAATTGTACATGGCAGCTTCACAATTTCATACATAAACTTGAACATAGATGATATCCTTATGTACTTACTATGTGCCATGGCTTCTTGAAACATGTAAACACTAAATATTGTGTTTTAGATATATATTTCATGGAATACATGTTTTGTAATTGTGCTAATAAATCTGGATGCATGCTTATAATATTCAAATATTGTCTTGTACTTCAATGTACTGCACAAAGTGATTATTAATTTTATCAGTACAAAAGTGACAACTTTTGTATATTGATTGTACTCCAAGGTCATATTTTTATAGCAGTCTTTGCATTGCTAATTTAGGACATTGATCAGTGTTTGTCTTCAAGAATTTTTAGATTATAGGATGACAAATCTTCCAGTCATTTCAGCTCTCGTAAACACCAAGTGTGTAGCTCTAAGAACACTAAGAGGAGATGCTTCAAGTTTTACTTAGGATAGTTAATAGTTACCCAGAGTGATCACTGGGATAAAAGAAAAGGTCTCCATTGCTCCCACTGGCCATCTATTAACCCACAACCCTGGTTTAGTATTTTATTCAATTCAGCAACTATGCTTAGAGTAAGACCTCATAGATCTAGTAATAGGTACATCTCAAGCATAGCTGGAATATTAAGCAACTTTGCTTGCATACAGGTTTAGTTCAATTTTGTAAGTGCCATAGAGTGGCAATAGAATGGATGTAGTAGTTCTTTATGCCTCTTCAGTTTGAAGGGAGGCACATACTGAAGCATTGATAATGGATTCTTTTAGTGTTCTTACTCACAGAATTCGGTTTGAGAGTTTTTAAGGATACCTCCATGTGTCAGGGGCCAGGACGGAGAGTAGTAAAGAAGAGGCCGTGTTGGGCAAAGACGATAACTAGTCTATTACTGGGAGTTTCCATAAAGAGGGCATCCCCCCCTTCAACTTTGATGCTTCATACATGGTTAATAATAATTTTTATTTTTTATTTTTATTATTCTTTAAGAAGAGGAATATAGTGGAAACTTACCACTAAAGTTTAAGTGGGATTAGTTCTCTGTTCACAACTCTCGCATATTGGGTGATTGAAGAATAATGTTTAATCATCTCTTGTTCATTTATAAGAGTAATTGTTGGAGCTTAACATGAAGAAGGTTAAATAATCATTATCCTCTTCCACCCATGATAAATATTGCCTTACTCCACTGGAGTATTGGCCATGACTTCTTTAATTGCTCATTGCTGTTAATTTATTTCTTGTATTTGACCGTCTTAATTTCTTTATTTTATTTTATTTTACTTATTTATAGTTATTATTATTTTCTTGGTCAGGCAGATTAGAAGCTGAGACTTGTTACTATGAAAGAAACAAGGTAGCAGGTCATTGTGATTTCAGACAGGCAACTGTGTCTGTCTGGCTCATAGCCCTAGGCTAACCAAAGACTATGAAAATGTGTTTGTCTATGTTTGTTGTACCCAAGCCACGGTATTGAAGGGTGTACAACCCATTAAACCTCGTTACTGCTACGTCTGTTTGCCGGAAATGGAGTTATACATGTTATTTATTAAAACTGGTATGTTGATGTTATTCAGTGTCTCCTCTGTTTCTTTTTCCAGTTTTATTGACTGAAGTGGGGTGTTCCATTTTGAATGTAAGGCAGACAATTCACTCACCAAAAGGTCAATGCCATCTCTGTGCCTTTATTTTACATTGCTTACATTTGTGCTTATATTGCAGCTATGAGGAAGCCAGTCCTAAGTTCCATTAAACGGTCCGAAAGAGACATTAGAAGATACCCTGTTACAATATAGGAGAGCTTTCATGTGTAGGTGGATGTGCTATTTAATGTAGTTGTGTTAAAAGATATATATATAGAGGTAGGTATAGAGGGAAGTTATTGATTTATTTGATTCTGTGTTTTTTGATTAGTGTTGTATTCAGCAGTAAATATGGTAAATATATATTCAATGTATCTAATGTGTTCTGTTGGGTTTGTTTCAAAGAATCATTATGTATGCATGTAGTCTTTAGTTGTTTGGTTTTTCTTTGATTTCACAGGTTATGTCATGAAATCCTTTCCTCAGTGTAACCTGTTACCTCTGTAGGCTCCAGCCTTCTTGTTTATTTTTTGACTGGTGTGTGATTCACCATTGATTCTGCAGGATGATGGGTTTATTTGGAGTTCACTGAAGACATCTTACCTTATCAATAGCCAAGCATGAGCACACCTTAAATTTATTATCAGAGTTTTTGGTGAATTTGTATCCCATGTGTAAGGTTAGGTGTCTTAGTTTTTCTGTGTACACCTATAGGAAAATGGTCCCATTTCTTTTGTGTGTTGTATTCTTCTGCTTTTGTTAACTTACCATGTGGTAAAAAAAAAGTAATTGAGTAAGGGGAAGTAATTTACAAATTTTCTTGTGTTGCTTAAATTATCATCATAAATTTTATTAAAAATTGAATGATTTTGTTTCTTAACATTTTTATAAATTATTGTATCCTGAATTAATGGAATATCCCTTAAAAACATTTATAATTTGTATTTTAATTACCGGTATGAATAAAAAAATTTTGGAGAAGAGTTCGAAATACAGTATACAGTAATAAGACTAATGTGTAAAGGACACTTTTTAATAATATTGGAGAATAAAAACATGTTTTGTGATACATGGTCAAAGTAGACACAGTGTTTGTAATGCTTCCCCATCTCATTAGAGTGACAGTATTCACTCATCACTTCTTGCAGCGGTTATCGTTAAGCTACCTGTACTCAGGAAAGATTCTCATTCGAGAGTCATTGTCCTGTCCCTATTAGCCAGAGGACTAACATTCAGAGGAGATATGTGATTTTTGAGTCATTGCCACACCAATATGTGTAATTATTGTTTGTCATACAAGGTATTTTCCATTGATTGTGGAAATTTATATTTATGTCAATGGAAACCCAGTTCACAACCTACAACTTCATGCTGGATGCCAAAAGCATGGCCCCCCATTTCAGGCTCTGAAATGTACTGTGATTTAAGACCACTGAATGTGCATACGTGTAAATGTTTTGCTTTGTATGGATCTGTTTGGAATGATAAATTTTACACAAAGAATTGGAAAAAGCTTTTATTGATAGCCAAACCATGTCAGGCATTTTAATACTGTACACGTAATGTTAATTAAAGGCTGATAAGACAGGTGACATGTTGAGAACAGTCACCCCTGTGTCATTAATACTACTGAAGGTATTGGTCAAGTGGTTTATCTGTTACCTATTTACTTTGTCTTACTCCTCATGTTGTGAATTGGTTGTGTAGGGCTTTGAAATGTATGTTCAGTGCCTGTTTGGGGAGATAATAGAAGTGTATTGTCTGCTTGCACATTATGAGTGTATTTTAGAAAAGGTGTTTCTCAGGAACACCTTTAAAATGAGGAAAATATGTGTTATCCCTTAAGTGTTTATTTAATTTAGGAGCTGGTAAGTCAAGGCCTAATATTAATATAATTCTTGTGTGTAGAAAATAGAAGATTTTATTTTTTGTGGAAATTTCTTGCTGAATTTATAGTACCTATTTATTAAAGTCATCATTATAATGCCCACACTTATAAAATATGTCATATACAGAGTAATTTGCAGATTAAAAGATTTAAGAAATTTAACCTCTATTTTCAATTGCTTCTGTTTTGACAACACAAGAAGACTCCTGTTTAACTTCTTCCTGTTTGGATGTATCATTGTGCAAGGGGACAATACCTGTCATGTGAGTAGTTGTAATTTTCTACTTCCAAGCAGCCAACCCGTAATTTTGTAATGAAATGTACAAGGATATAGCAGCAGAAGAATAAAGTATTTTCAAAGGATATTTTGTTTAATACACAACCTGTATTAGTTTTCTTTCCATCCCAAGAAGGCATTCCTTGAACTGACAGTAGAATAGCTTAAAGAATGACATTTGAACTCAAAATCTTTTGTTTTTTATGTATACAGTTGCAGACAAAATTTCTGAACACTTAATTGTCTGTATGTTGGCCTGGCGAGTTATTGCTAGGCATTAACATACCTAGGTATAAGCTAGGCGTCGCATTCTGGGCTATATCACAAAAACTGGTTTTTAGAAAAAAATGGCTTTTTATCACCTGTCAGGACCACAAAATGGAAAAATACAAAAATGCTCCTTAATAAAAAAAAAGGTAAAATAACCTTAGAATTCCAACCCCTTTCACCTAATGATCCTCGAGTATGTGCCAGCTACTGCCAAGTGTCTAGGGATTTTGTCTGCAACTGTACATATATTCACAAATTAAAATAAAGTACAACTGACACTAATAAGAATGTTACTGTGTACAACATGCACACTCCTTTTGTTAACTGTTGTCTCACCCTGGGGCGTGACGGAATGTTCCATTAAGTTTGTTTGTTGATTACCGGACACAATTTTTTTTTTACTAAAATCAAACATTTTGTCTAACTCGCACAGCTCTGTCAGGGTGATCACACAATATCATTGGGCAATGTATAATTTATGCAGGTGCTTTTGATAAGCATATAATGCAGACAAATGCATTATTATTCATTTCATTAATATAGTGTGTAGTAGTATTTATACTATAGGTATGTCACATTCAGTGTCCTGTCCTGCTTCTATCAATAATTGCCAGTAGTCTGGTAAACATGGAGGAGACAAGATCCATTACATTATTACGTAAGTTGTAAGTGCAACCCCATTATAAATGGACACATGTGGAGGCCCCAGCTCTAACCCCCTATCACCCCTTGAATAAGTGACAATTGTTTAGATTTCAGCAGGAGAAGGGAAGGACATGGAGGAATACAGAATGATCGATGCATGTGTGTTGACTTGAGGGGAGGGGGAGTGTTTTGTACCGTAATCACAGTGGCTTATTATCTTGTAAATTCTGGACAGTAAATACTGTATGTATAGAATGGTTCAGACCTGCAGCACAAGCTGGGAATACCACTCTAATGTGTAGTAAGGTTGACAATCCCTTATCCGAAATCCTTGGGGCCAGATGTGTTTCGGATTTCAGAATGGTTATTTTTTTTTATTTACAGTTATTTATTTTTTATTACGGGGATCAGCCCACCCGGGCACAGGTCACCGACCCGCATTGGGGCCTGCGGGACAAAAATGTAAAATAATAATAATAATTCATTGGTCAAGGTCATGTTTTTCACTTGATCTTTTTTTTCATTCTTTTATGTCTTAATTATTATTTAATTAATATTATTATTGTAATTATTATTATTGTTATCATTATAATTTCATGTTTGTGTATTTTTTATTATAAATTTTATTTACTATGAATTATTACTGTATTAATTATTATTATTTTTATTATTATTATATGTATTACACCTTTTCACACATCCGTTGAGACATTGTTACATAACTATTTGACAAATTTCATAACCGAATGACAGACAACTCATATCGAATGACAATTGAAAATAACTGTTGGTGGTATGTCATTCTCCAATTGTTACATTCTCAAACTATATGTAGACTGTCGGTTTATTGTTCACGTCTGTCAACTTCATAACTTATGTCAATCATTTCCGTTAGCATGAATGAACAGTTATTTTAGATTGTCATTGATATGTGTTCTGTCATTCGGTTATGAAATTTGTCAAATAGTTATGTTACAATGTCTCAATGGATATGTGAAAAGGTGTATTATTATTATTACCGTTACATTTTCGCCCCAATGTGGGTCACTGACCTGTGCCCGGGTGGGCTAATCCCTGTAAACCTGTAAAAAAAAAAAATTTTTGCTACACTAAAAAACTTTAGGTTTTCGGAATTTCGGATAAGGGATTGTCAACCTGTAATACATTCTACTCGTAATTTGTGTTTTGTCCTACATATTTATATCCATGCTTTATATATCTTGCATTGTAACTGCACAGGTAACTGTGTAACTCTCTCCCACTCCTCTAGCCTCCCTACCCTCTGACCTTCCTCAAACCCCCGATTATCCCACCACCCACTTACACACCGACTCCAGTCCTCCCTCTCTCCCTTGAATGCTTTGGACTCAAGAGTCTATAGTCCTGGGGTTCACATCACATGGAGAATGTGGATTGACAATGCTGAATCTAACAGTTGGAAGTGGAAGAGGCTGTACAGTGGGGTATGCTATAACGAATCCAATTGGTTCTAGAACCTTGTTTGTTATAGCATTCGTTCGTTATAGGATTAATCCGTTCCAGGCCCCCAAATGCAACCACTTAACACTGAAAAATATAATATAAAATTTAAAAAAATTGTAAAAAATTGCATAAATATGCATCTAAACCCCTGAAATAAAGAATATAATTAATACTTGTAATAAAAAAATAAAAGAAAAAAAAATTTTGTTGTAGGAGTTTCGTTCGTTATAGCATTCTCAATTTTATAGGTAAAACCGTTCGTTATAGGAATATTCATAATAGAATCCATTCGTTATAGCATACCCCACTGTACATGTATCTGTAGTAAGGAAAACTTTTTGAACAATTGTAATAATACAGTGGGGTATGCTATAACGAACGGATCCTACTACGAATATTCCTATAACGAACGGTTTTACCTATAAAATTGAGAATGCTATAACGAACGAAACTCCTACAACGAACATTATTTAAAATTTTTATTTTTTTTAATAATTTATTGTTTTTTATTACAAGTATTAATGATATTCTTTATTTCAGGGGTTTAGATGCATATTTATGCACTTTTTTACAATTTTATTATATTTTTCAGTGTTAAGTGGTTGTATTTGGGGGCCTGGAACGGATTAATCCTATAACGAACGAATGCTATAACGAACAAGGTTCTAGAACCAATTAGATTCGTTATAGCATGCCCCACTGTATATTGAAAGTAATATTTCCTCATTTCACATCAACTAATTCCAGCTTGACACCCTTAGCAATTCAGCAGTGAACTGCAAACAGAGTCAATTTGAATCCTTGGGGCAAGTTTCTTTATGCCATTTGCCTCTGTATACCCAGCAGTACATAATTGGGAACCTGGATGTAATTGTTTTGTAGATCGTGTTCTGAGGTAATGGTTAGCCATTGCAGTTGGTGAATTGTCCGGTATTCTTGAATTATTCCTTGACGCTGGGTCATACAGCTCGTTAAGTTAGGGTGTGCTTGTTGAGTTTGCAACAGTATCTACACCCTAAACAAATACACACGTAGGTGGCCCTAGGGCCGGCCATTTTCAAACACGAGGTGCAACCATTATTAAAATAAAATACAGTAAGATCTCATATTTCGCGCGATTTCATTTTGCATTTTTTAATTTCGCGAGCACTACCTAAAGTAACCAAGTTTTATATTTGGTGTAAAGTATCGTGAGTTCCAGCCAGCTGAACGCTGTAATATTTTATGTTGCAGCAGAAGTATGTTTTATGGTAACTAGCCAGCCGCACTCTCCCACCCCCCGTGTGACGTCAGGGCATACCGACAGCAGCCACACACTTCTCTTGAGTCAGTTTCATGACTGCCCGGATGAGATATGTCGCCTTTATACTGTACCAGTATACACTGAATGTGAAGAATACAGTAAATAAATATGATTATAATAAGTAAAATATATAAATAAATACAGTACTGGGTTACTATTTGGCAATCATTTTACGGGACACATGACTGAACAGCTGGCCACCGTCTTGTATGACATCACAGCCCTCATACCAGTTACTCACGCGCCATCCTACTGACTGCCCAGGCTGCCACTGTGTGCTTTTTTTGGTGGTGCTACCACCTGTCGAGTTAAGATAATGGCCTCTACCTCTACTGGGGGTCCTACTGGTGCTGGTGGGGGTGGGACAGACCCACCTAAGCGGCCAAATAAGGAAAAGGAGAAGCGGGACTATCGTAAGGGAGTTGTGCTTGCCAAGTCTCGATGCAGGATAAGCAGCTTGTGATTAATTTACTTGAGGAAGGCCTAAAAACTAGTGAGATGAGAAAGATTACTGGTTTTCCAGAAAGCACAATCAGGTCAATAAAGGCAGAATTTGTATTATTTGGAGGTCATAAATGGGAAAATCAGAGGTTGATGTAGAGTGGCCAGTCTATATTGTTATTTTTTCCATTAGTTTATGTACAGTATTTGCATTTGGTGAATTTGAATTTGGCGCAATTTTTTCTGCCTACCGTATATTACTCGCAAAATAAAAGATCTTACTGTATATGTATATACTGTACAGCTATATACTCGTGTATTTCTCAAATGCAGGGAAGTTGTTCGCATCCTCTTGTGAACACCGAGGAAAATAATTTATTTAATGACTGTACCTTGTCCTGGTCTGAGTCTGCATAGCTACAGTCTCTTAGATCTGATATGCCCACGTCTTTAATTTAGACTTTATGTAACTGTAGAAAGCCTTAGTTTCACCCTGCTTGGGGATCGAACCTGGGTCCACTCGCTTGCAAGGTTAGTATGTGACTATTACACCTCTTGGGTATGAATGTCTGTACTGGATAAAGTCTTCTAGTATTAGCTAAATAAAATATTAAAAATTGGCATCCTGTAGTGAAGGGGTTAGTGGAGATAGTTTATTAACCCCTTGGGTATGAGAGGCCTCTCTCTGCACTGAATAAAATTATCTGGCATTAGCCAAATAAAATACTAGAAGTGGCATCCCGTAGTGGATATACTGGTACAGTCAGTTCTGCTACAACGCAATAGTTGTGTTCTTGTAAAACCTCACTTTGTAGAAATTCGTGCAGTAGAAATAACAGGGCTTATGGAGAAAGTAGGGTTAGGTGCAGATTACTCGAAATCGAAAAAATTTAGTACAGTATAGTCTGGATTTACGCGGTTTTTGTTTACGCGTTTGGTCATTTA